CCACGCCAGACAAGAAAGCTGATATTTTTAACAGTTTCTTTGCTTCTGTTTTCCTGAACAGGGACCAGGATATCCCACCTACCAGAGGTAGGGACAATCTTGGCGATAGCTCTATCAAGCCTCCAGTCAGCGCAGATGTAGTTAGGGATCTTCTGGAAGGGCTAGACATTTTTAAATCTGCAGGTTCAGATGCCCTCTACCCAAGGGTGTTGAGGGAGCTGGCGGGGGTCATCGCGGAGCCCATGACCCGGCTGTATGAGCATTCGTCCTCACCGCTACCTTGGGCAAATTCAAGGGAGGTTGGATGATCACCTGTCTGGGGTCTTGTGAACCCAGCATTCATTCGTGCCTGTGGCAGGGGGTCAGGCTAGATGATCTGTTCAGGTCCCTCCTGACCCTAGCTACTATGAAACTATGAAACTATGAGCACTGCCTGAATAGAAATGTTGCAGCACCTCCCAGTCAGTTGGTTTTGAAGTGTGGGTAGAACAAGAATCAAATGGGGGTGTACAACTGCATCGCTGCATGCACCCCCTGATCCTCCCTGGATGATAGTCCTTAATTTAAAGAGAAAATTGGGCCTGCAGTAGTGTTCTAGATAAGATGTAAAAATAGTGCAGAAAACTGACTGGCTCTTATCCAGGTGACTCTCAAACTAAAATTAATGGAACAATTCATACTAATGTAATATATGTATTGCATTAGTATTGATCATTCATTGTTATGTTTTATAACAATTGTTTCCTTTTAATTCCAAGCAAGATTCAAGGTCTCTACTATTAGACCCTAAAGGATGCTTTTCAGGTGATGGTGAAGTGGTGAAAAGTGGCCACAATATTCCTCAACCTGAGACCCTCTGTGTCCTTGCAAAGCCCCCAAAGTTGTCATTTCTAGCTGAGGAAGAGCCTGTTGCCATTGTACCTGAGGGCAATGGATCCACTAAATCGGCATATGTTCTTTAGGGCTGACATTCATTGGTGGGGCTCCTGCAACTCTGGGGGTTAGCTAGATGATTTTTGTCATTTTTAATTTCTGAAATTGTGAAGAAGACATAACAGTTTTTAAAAATATATAATAATATATCTGAATAAGCTCAAACAAATGTTAGCAGGACTATTTGCAAATTGTTTAGAGCAGTAACTTACAGTTTTATGGACCTATTCAACTCTTATTCAACTCTTTTATAGACCCATTCAACTCTTATTATTAAGATATAATATGTATACCACTGTACCTCTTCTCTTTTTCTCTACAGTTCATACTTTGGAAAGGAATATGAAGTCATTTGTCACACTTATCTGGATTCCCATAAAGCTGAAGAAGATAAGAATTACTGGATAATAGTTACTGGGAATCCCAGTGATGAAGAAAGTACTATGTTTGATAGGCCTAAGCCACTCTCAGAGGAGACAAGAGAGCATCCATCAGAGGAGACCAGAGATCGAGAAATGAAATTTATGCAGGAACATAAAATGGAGTAGTCCAAGATGAAACATTTTTATTTATGCTTTTCTAAAATGAAAAATCTAATCTGATAGGAATAATTGGAGCTTCTAATGCATTTTGTGGCTTTTCTGTTCTCATTTTATTTTAAAACACAGATTCTTTTACTTTAAAAGTAGATATGACAGTCTGCCATTAGTTACACTATCTACAGTGAAATCAGTGGGTTTGCATAAGAATTTGGGCAACAAATTTTGGTTACCTCCACATAACCTACCCTCCATTATTTTTCTTAACTAAGTAAGGATTGATTTTCAAATTTGACATGCGTTAGTAATACTGTAGCAGAAAACTTTAAAACTAACAGATTCGCCTTATGTTGTTAGCCCTAAGAACTTACTTAATACTTTCTTGCAAATAAGGCAGTGCTTGTATTTTTAAAGCAGGGGGTTACAATAGTTTCCAAGCCATTAATAGTCAAAGGCATATCAGAAAGAGACTTTCTTACTTTACCAATTGAGACATTTTTATCAGTGAATGTCTTCCTTATCTTGGCCAACATCATATAGGCATCATATAGGCTTTATTTAAAAAGCATGAATCAGGCCTCAAAAAGATCATGAGTTTGGCTTTAAAATGATGAGATTTAAAAAGGAAAACCAAAAAATGATACAGTTGAGGCTTTTACATTTGCCTTTAGGATTCAGAGCCAGTAAGAGTTATGTATTCAAGGCCAAAAATCTTAGTTGCTTATTTTACATAAAAGTTGAGATTGTCATGAGTACAAGACATTGCGCTTGAAGAAGCACCAAGTACTGTAAGATTCATGATAACATCAGAAGAACCACCAGACCACTGACAATAGGTTTCGCAACAACTTTCATAAATTACAGTTCAACACTGCACCACACATAATGAAGCTGAATGTTTGCAGATTGCTTTTTGTCTGAAAGAGCTTCATAAACTTTGCACAACTAGGAATCAGACATCCGCAGAATGGAAGAACAGCAGGACTCGGGCAGGCTGTTGGTGCAAAGCAGGGGAAACTGGGGAATTCTTGGTTAAGATATCAGGATAAATCTCCCTTGGAAGAAATTCCAGTGGATTTTTATGGCTGTGCAAATCGGACAATACTTTGTTTTTTAAGGTTTAACTGTTATAAGCACCACAGAACTTTATTTTGGCAGAACGAAGGCTAAGTTGTACCTGTCGTGAATCAATTTTTCCCTCCAGACAGTCGGGTTCAAACCTTATTCCTAGACTTTTAAGCTATTAGCTTTGTCTAACAACAATAAAAGGAACAAAAGTAAGTTTCATTTGCAACTGGCTGCGTGGGCTATTTGTAACTGTTTGGGAAATTCACTTGCTAATACAGTAAGTCAAATGGATTTTCTAGGAAGCACTATAGGACCTCACACCAAAACAAGGATAAAAGTGTCACCACCCAAATGAATGATAGACATGAGCGTAGAAATCATATCTATGTGGATAGAGAGCTTTGCTATGTATTGTTCTGGGTAGAGATGTGTTTTCAGATGTGTGGGAGCAAAGTAAGAGAACTTTGACAGACGGAGACACAGCCATAGAAGCACTGGTGATGTGAAAAGTCTAGTGAGAAAGTTTATCAGTTGAATATTGACTGAAAGGGCATGGATTTACATGTAAAGAGCCAGTCTCTAGTCATTTGATCTCCCAGTGTTCTGGGAAACAGGACTTGGTAGATTTTTTGGAAGAAATCAGGATTGCATCAAAGATACCACATCAATGTTTCCTTCTAACTAGATACAAGACATCAGTTTTTTGATTAGCTGCTTAGACTATGTAATTTATGCCAGTATTATAGTGGGTCCTTGATGTTGCAGTATATAAATTAATCTGTTTAATTTTTTTATTTTAAATCCAGGATTTTTTTCATAATGTTTTTAGTGTGATCGTAGAGTTCTCTGTTTGGCCACAAGATGTCATTGTTTTTTAAATAGTGCAAATGTTAGTACCTATATAAACAGCTTTACATTTTTAATCCAAATTCATACTTGATAAAACTCTGTAAAAGTTAATCAAACTATAGCTGCCTAGAATTTAGGCCCTTGTTTCCACAATGTTGTGTTAAGTTGGTTTCTGAAAGAAAGCTAATGAGAATGCAATACAATTAAGAATCAAGTTGTATATAGAGGGAGGGTATCTTTAGAATTTGTCTCACTTTCTAAATGTGTAAAAACGCTGCAATAAAGAACAGACAGTGTAAAATATAGTTTAGGGATATTTACCTACTTAATATATAGTTGTGTTATTTTTATGGAAATGCTAGGGGAGTATTAAAAAATCTGCAGGTAGGGTAATTATTAGGTCCAACCATATTGGTACCTCTCACATTTGGCAGTAGCAAAGAGGAATAAAGAAGACCATGAGGACAAAATCCTCTTAATTCAGCACCATATTAAACTATTGAATTCGACACTGTGAGGGGAAGAGATGACTAGTGATACATAGTGGTGCAACAGAAGATGGCAGGAGAACAGGTTGACATACTGAAGTGGCACTTTTGCCAGGTAGGATAGGCAACTTAATGTACATTTTTAAGAAGTAAACCTCATTTTAAAGTAACAGGATTTTAAATTGTAAAATATGTAGCATTTTAACTTGTGGGGAAATACCCTGCTTTTAAATGAGGTATTGTTTTGCTTGCTTACTGTTGGCCTGGGTACCATTGAAAAATTGCAGTATGATATGACAGAATGTCAGGTATGAATAACACAATCAGGACACAATCAGACCAACAAGATTTTTGCAAAAAATGTCTTTAATTGCAAGCTTTTGGGCACAAACAACCTTCATCAGGCATTGGAGAAAAGATTGTAAAAGTTCTCTGGGCAGAAATGAAAGTTCATATTTCATAGGATTTCACAGAGGAGTCAGTAGGTGGAAAACTCCTCTGGGCAGTTGGTTCATAGCTGGTATGGAGCCTCTCACCTTCTGTGAGGATCTGGGATGATGCAAATTACCTTGACACAAAGGCAGGAGCAGGATCTCAGGTTTCGGGTGGTCACAGTTGCTTCCTGGAGGTTTGAATAACAGTATTTTTAGCTTATTGAGCCACTGAGCCTTCAGTCTTATGTCAAGCCACCTCTTCTGTGTCTGGCAATTATGTATAAGTGGAAAACTAAGGGTGGGGTGGAGGTGGGTACACATGTTCCAAAGAATTCACCTATGGCAGCACAATGCCCATAGGTTGCTCTGTCTGGGTACAGGGCTCTGATTAAAAACAAACAGAACACTGATGGGAACTGCTGCAGCCCTTTCCTACACCATCTCTTCAGGCATTATCCAGAACTGGATGAATCATTTTGTATCATGGGTAAACTTGCAGTCTGGTGGAATAACAAAACCTGTGACTTCTCCCAGCCAGAGATCATCTCTGAAAATACTGTTTATATCACTTTGCTGTGGGAGACATCTGATTTTTATGTTCACAGAAAGGAAAAGTCTTGACCAAACAGTAATGCATGAGGGAAACGTTCAAATCTCCAACTTGAAATCTCTTTTGACTGCTTTTCAGGTTTCAGTTATCCAATCAGTGGGTGCGTCTACGCATACATTTGATCGGGGCTCAGTTTAGTGGGGTGTAAACTTCTCTGGATTAAGTTCTGTCAGGCAGGCGTCTACACATGCAGAAACTTGGGAGCAGATTTCCTGCTCTTAGCATCAAACTTCCTGCAGCCCTGCAGTGGGCCTCTGCTGCCACCAGGAGGAGCTTCAGGCTCCGGCTACAGCTGCCAGCCATCCTCCAAAAGCAGCCCCACTTGCTGCTCTCTGGCCAGCCACTTCCCTGGCCAGGAGCGGTGTGCCTAGTGCAGGGGCATGCGGCAGCTTTCTCCTTGCCCACTGCTTCCCTGTGCTATGGCTGATTCAGCCCCTGCCCCTCACAGCAATGACCAGTGCCCCGGGCTCCTGATGGCCACCAAGCTGGCCCTACTGGCCCATTGCACTGACTGCTGCCTGGCCCACAGCTGTTTGGGCCTGCCCAGCTCCCCAACGTGCAGCGACCACCTGCCTGGCTGCAGCCTGCCATCCCACGGCCACTGCCGCTGTACAGTTGCCACAAGAAGGGATGCTGATGAGGGGCTTCTGGATGCCACCATCAGGGCTGCTGTCACTCTCTTGCACCTCCATACCTGCTACCACAAGGGCCTCCGGGCCACCCAGGACTGGTGGCAGCATGTTGTCCAGCACACCTGGAATGATGAGCATTGGCTGGAGGCCTTCAGGATGGCCCAGGCCACCTGGGACCTTGTGGAGCTGCTACGGCTCCACCTGGAGTGGAAGGACACTGACCTGTGGCTGCCTCTCCCGACAGGCACTGACCTGGCCCTCACCCTGCTCAAGCTGGCCACACCTACCAATCTCTGGTATGTTGGCCACCTGTCTGGACTAGGCAAGGCCACCACTGGGGAGGCCATCCTGGAGGTGTGTGGTGCACTTGAGGACATGCTGGTGGACACTGCCCTCTGTGTGCATGACCTCCTGGCAGTGGTGGTGGGGTTCTGTGCCTTGGGATTCCCCCAGTGCATTGGGGCCCTGGATGGGACCCACATCCCCATCACCTGCCCACCCCACAGAGACCACCCCTATTACAGCTGGAGGGGCTTTCACCCCGTGGTGCTCAGGCTGTTGTGGACCACCGTGGGGCCTTCATGCATGTGAGTGCCAGCTGGGTGGGCAGTGCTCATGGCACCCACATATTTAGGAATTTCTGTCTGCTGGGCCTGGTGGAGAGTGGCCATTTTGCACCAGGGGTGCTGGACGTGCAGCTGGGTGCTATGGTCATCCCAGCCCTCCCCACTGGGGACCCCGCCTACTTGCTCCTGCATTGGCTCCTGCAGTCCTACGCTGGCCACCAGGCCCACTTCAACCGCTGCCTGGGCTGGACCCACACCCTAGTGAAGTGCAACTTTGGGCGCCTCAAGGGCCGCTGGTGCTCCCTCACTATCCACTTTGAGGTCACCAAGGACAACCTCCCCTGGATCATTGTTGGAGCTTATGTGCTGCATAACATCTGTGAGGCCTGGGTGGCGGCGGCATGGCTGCAGAGGATGCCTGGCAGCAGGAGCACCGCCTGTGGTGGCAGCAACAGCAGGCCCTCCCGCTGAGGCTCTAGGAGAGCTGCAGCCTTGCCATGCTCGGGTTTGGAAGGTCCTGGCTGACCACCTCCACCACCACTCCATGCTCTAGCTGACCTGCAGCACTGCACACAGACCCTCCACCCCTCCTGCCCGTACCCAGCACCACACTCTGCACACGTCATAGTTTCATAGTTGGTAGGGTCGGAAGGGACCTAAGCAGATCATTAAGTCCGACCCCCTGCCATGGACAGGAAAGAATGCTGGGGTCAAACGACCCCGGGAATGTGATTATCCAGCCTCCTTTTGAAGACCCCCAGGGTAGGAGTGAGCACCACTTCCCTTGGAAGTTGGTTCCAGATCCTAGCCGCCCTGACTGTGAAGTAGTGCCTCCTGATTCATAGATTCATAGATGTTAGGGTCAGAAGGGACCTCTATAGATCATTGAGTCCGACCCCCTGCATAAGCAGGAAAGAGTGCTGGGTCT